CCACGAACTTTGTTTCAACCTGACTAAGTCCAGGCATCAAATTCACATCAGGCCATCATATTCGAGGACAGTTAAAATCGCCCATATGTTTAAATTGTGAACAATTAATGTGGGTTCCTAGATGGGGCAGCCAATCCAAACGACAACTCAGGGGACTGTGATAAACTGCGCTTACAATTAGTTCTCTGCGCCTGAAGCGGATGGAGCACTACAGTAGCTCACACAAATCATCGTCACTTCGGTAGGTGCTCACAAGTCTCCCACGCAGGGAAGACGGGAAGTAAAGCAAGACACCACCACAGGCATTCTTTAGCCGATCGCATCGGAAGTACGAGTAACCGTTGAGTTCAAGTTATTGGGTTTATAGGTTTAAATGCAGCTATGTCTCTGCGAGTCCCACTATGTCTCGCCACTCAGACACAACGAAACAACAAAGCTCATGGCGGTTGTTCATAATACTGCAAATGTTTGCAAAGGCTACTCGTAGGCCGCAGCAGTAGCCACCGGACGTGCTTGAAGTGTGAGTATCCAGTACATACTAATTCGCAGATTGTTGAAAACCACTCGAAAATTTACGATACCAGTACGTCTTTTCAGCTAAATGATGGTATACGTGAGCTCCACTCCGTCTACTAGGTCCAAGTCTGGACGAATATGGAACTTCAAACCTTTCGGCCTACGGGACATGATCAGTCTTGGACTGACTTCGTCCACAAAAGTGATTCTCATAGGCCGATTTTGTTGACCGCCTTACTTTCAAAGACGGGTAATTTGACTCAGTTTTACCGAGTCCTCATCAGCGTCCAGGGGTCTGTCAATTAGACGCTGAATAACCTTGACATCGTGGTCGTGACTCACATGGGTTGATGGATCATTGGAATACGGCACATGGATGATCACGAAGTTATAATGCATCGGATCGAACGAAATGTACCTTGCAGGGCGAAGTATATTATCAGGCTTACGTGGTTTGGCTATTAACTTACAGAAGTTAAAGGCCAAAAATCCCTACCTAATTTCGTTTTATGTTCTTTACACTAGTGTTTAGTACTCAGACATTTACCTGCTAGGACATCAGTGCTCGTTGGACACAACAAATGTTAACAATTTATGCCAGGTGAAACTGGGCTTCTCACAACGATTGGACTTCGTGCCCTGTGAGTTTGTACGGGTAGAGGGGGAAGATTGAGCTGTACTCTGAAGGCTTTTCGGGCTAGGTTGTTAAACCAAACACACAGAGCTCTTCGCAAGGGAATGATGAAGCCTACCGTCGGCCATACGCTCCTTGGCTGTATCTTGCTTCAGCAATTTTCACAAAGTTTGAACGAAATTGTGGTGGATCTCACAAAGACGACGAAAATGCTCAACTGATAATCCAAAACGTGAAATGTGGTATTTAACTTGGCACAACACACATGGGGGCATTTGCACCGTATCCGACTATCGTGGAACAAGTACTACAGGTGACTGCTTCGGCATTGTGAATAATCTGAAACAAGATGGCGGCTAATTGTCGGAGAAAATGGCGGCAGCAAGGTCGCTTAATCCAAGCGATGGAAACACAAGTACTGCTCGTCGGAAATTGCAGAAGCAGAAATGACACTGAATTGTTTCTAAACTTTTACGAAATTAATTCAATGAACGAAGAAAACCAAGAAAGTGATCATTTCAACACAGCCAAACCTAATGGACTGAAGGCGGCTATCCGCATTTGGCAGTCCCCGTTAGACCAACTCTTGACAGGTCCCGTAAAATGGTTTATGTGAATTATGCAAGTTCAAAATAATTGACACCGAAGTGAAACTCGCATTTGTGAACTTACTATTAAACCCACCCTAACAAGCAAATACATCCGTTGGTCCTGATTTTTTTTGTGGGGGGGGACTTGTGTTATCCTTACGTCGATTAGTGAACAGAATAGAAATGAGTGTCGTAGCTGTTGCAACGCATAGTCAAGTTGTTTTTAACAACGAGTAGCGTGTGCGCAGAAATGACATAGGTCGAAAAAGCGTCCCATTGCTGACAAGTATGAAGAGAGAAACAGTTTCGGCGGCATTTCAGTCAACAGTATTGGTGGCCAGATTCAGCTGGCGACACCTCACAGCTGTATTGCGGTTGAGTTTCAGCGGGTGGCGGCAAATGTGATGTGGGTTATGAAAATTATGGTACACCAGAATGAGGTCGCAAATTAGACGGTGACAACTTCCGCTGTACAGTATTAGGGCTGTCAGTCGTAAATGGTACGCCAATTGTAACAATCCCTTCACAAGTTATTTGCCCTTCGCTGTAGGATTGCTGTTACAGCCACCTCACGTTCTAGCAAGGTTGCCGGGTGTTATTCGGGTACTCTACACGTAACCTCAAATATGTGTTGAGCATTTAAAGATGTTGGGTTAAACCACCCGAACACCCTCCGTAAAAGCCTATCAGTTTAGTTCGAGGTTTTGGGCGTCTTTCATGACTGTTCCAGACAGTCGATGTTGTCGTTCGAGCCGTGACTACCAAGCATGTATTCTTTAGTCACCAAATGGGGTAAATATATCTTTTGACACTTTTTCTCGTTGAACGGTATAAGATTTAGCTTTGACAATACCAAAGCACGGTCTAATTGTCGTTACCGTAGTTCTTCATAGTCCTGATTACCCATAGTGAGGCATATATTAAAACTATCGGCAAGGCGCAATTAATTATAACAATAACGCTAACAGGTTGATGAATAACCAAAGTAAGGGCGGCTCAAAAAGTGATCCTTTTGGAACACGGCAGTCCACATCAACAGATCAGAAAGTGAGCCCAAAACCGGGACATGTAACTGTGATGGAAAATGGCAATTTCCAATCTGTCCAAAGATAGAGTTCCTGATAACGTTTGTTTGCAGCTAATGGAAAAGAATGCGATAGTAAATGCGGTCAAACGGTTAGAAAATTCGAGATGCATGACACCAGTTCTGATCCCACCAAATGTTATTTCGTTCTAAGTGCCACGCGTAATCAGTGCTTTGTTTGTAAGTAACTGGAGTTGACACAGCCGTAGTTCTGAGATTCTAAGATAATACATGTCTAATCAATTCATTTATGGTTCCGGCATGATCAACTACCTCAAGTTTGAGTGCAATAAGAGAATAATAATTTGGCGATATTTAACAGGCTTCAAACGGCCAATACACTTGAAGATGCGGGTAATGATATTTTGAAGATACACGTTAGGAACCTGCTGTTCATGCAGAAAACTTGGAAGTAATCGAGTAAATGATACAGCTATCCTGCCAGATGTGCTTTCGAATGAGCGTAACTTCCGAAAATACTATCGGTGCTCAACGATAGATTTTTCTCAAAACATCGTAGTACAAAAATTAGGAGGTTTGAACAATACTGCCGCCTGTGGGACCAGAACATGTATGCAACGTGTGCTGGTAGCGCGTCAAAATATTGCAGCATATTGTAGCCTTATAGCAGTGACTGTTTCCTCAGCAGTTCAAACACATCCATTTGCTGAGAAGAGTGAGGGAGCGCCACGCTTTTTTTCCAGGTGGCTGTTCAAAATTTTGTACAGTGAGTTTTTAAAGAGGAACCGAAATTTGAGATAGCGCGCAACCGGCAGTGAGAGCTCGCTGTGGCTACTAAAGGCGTGTAGAAGCTCGACTGGATGACAAACGGCCATTTGCAGCACTTTGCTCTGTCTGTTAGTTAGCAAGCTGCAGCTGTTGGTCGGAGTTTTGTTACAGAGGAAATGGAAGAGTTTGTGGAAGAACGTGCGCGTGTGAAAGTTGCTATACATTTGGCAAACCTTTTACAGGGACATCACAATTTCTTAGACCAGTATGCAGTGTGGGTTTTATGAGTCGCACGCTACGTTATAAGAGTTTAATTATTTCGAACACGGTAGAATACCGGTCGCTATCGAACCTAGGACCGGACGAATTTCCACAGCATCAGAGGAGAATCATGTGGAGAGCGTTCGTGGTGCGACATGTGGAAATCGTCATTTAACTTTTCGGGAAGTTTGTTGATGATGTGTTCATCATCGTAGGATCATTCTATGAAAGTTTGAGCGATGAACATGAGGTGCGTAGTGCCAGTGCGACATTCGTGCCACATTTGGTGATTAACAATCAGAAGCAGAACCTTGTAGAAATCAGCCAGAAGCTGCTTGCTACTCCCACTGACAAGGAGAACTTCCTTACTTACCTCAAAACAGGCGATGAGACTTGGGTAAATAGCTACGAAAATGGAACGGTCGTGCAACCTTCGCAGACGTTTATGAAGGTTCATCTCCTACAAAAAAATGGACTCATGCGTCGGTAAAAAGCAAGGTGATTTTTGTTGTCTTTTTTGACTGCAAATCCTTGTCCATCAAGCGCTTTTACTACATGAGCAGACTGTATGCAAGAAAATCCTCCAGGGAATTCCAGCGTGTTTCTAGGACGCTTTGGGCAGGAAGATGCATTAAGTATGAGAAAACGAGAATTGAATGCTGCATCCGGAGAGTACTCTGGCTCAATCAGCGCCCGTTGTCTGCATCCATCTAGCAAAAGTCACACTCCGGTTGTGCCCTACCTACAGTATATTCCACACCTAGCTCCAGTATACTAGTCCCTATTTCCACAACTTAAAACCACCTTGAACTAACGTTGATTGCATGCCGTAGAGTATGTACAGGACAGTGCGACCAGAGAACTGCGCGCCATCCCAGTAAATGCCCTCCAGCTGCTCTCGTGTATTTGCTTAGCAGATGCTGTTTTTAACCGTAGCTCGAAAGGAAGGCTGCTGCGGCCGGCTTACTATTCCCTCACTACCATTGCTGACAATTGGCTAGATTGAAGGAACCCTTTCATAATCCTCGGGCTACATCCCTTTTAGTTTAACGATCGGCGCAGCCTAGAGATTGACTGGCTCGAGTTCGTCAACACACTCAGTCAGCTGATTGCACAGGCTTCAGAGATAAAAGCTAGCAATAAGTGCAAATCCGTTTCTTTCGTTAGGAGCAGAACCCGAAAATAGATGACAGTACGCAACGCAGCATGGCGAGTGTACAGAGAAGCTCCAGCATCAGAAACTTTGGACAACTACGTAGCCCAACGTAACCACTGCACTCAACTGTTAAGAGAAGACAAAGCCGCCTATCAGCAGAACATCGCAAAAACTTTCAGTGCTAACCACAAACTGATGTACAAGCACGTTAATAGCCTACGAAAGGTGAGGCAAGGATTTCCTCCACTCAAGACAGCTGGTGGCCCAACAAGAACGTCTATGGAAGCTGCAAACGCGTTGCAGACGCAATACGCCCCCACGTTTCAAGGAGTCTTGTCACCAAGCGATCTACCAAGATTTGAATTCTGCTCACCAGGACTAACCCACATCAATATTACCCTAGAGGCTGTATTGCAAAAGCTGACTTTTCTACGCAAACACAGCTCGCCGGGTGTCGACACCATTCGCCCAGAGGCATTGGGAGCAGCAGCAAACCAACTGGCAGGAACTTTAGCTCAGTTTTTCCAGCACTGCTTAGACCAGAACCAAGTTCCCGCCATGTGGAAGCTTGGAATACTAACTCCGATTCACAAAGGTGGAAGCAGAACTGATCCCTCCAACTACCGCCCAGTAACCCTTCTTCCTATACTCTCCAAGGTCATGGAATCCATAGTTGCCGATGCACTGGTGTGCTATCTGAAAACTGCAACCTCATCACTCCTGAACAGCACGGTTTCCGTCGACAGCGGTCATGTACAACTAATTTACTAATTGCACGCAGTAGTTGGACCGAGGCAGCTGACGCTGGAGAAGGTGTTGATGTGATCTACCTGGATTTTTCTAAAGCTTTCGTTCGTCTAGACCATCGGATACTACTATCCAAGCCCCAGCATTATGGGACCGGAGACCCTCTTTTAAGCTGGATCGCCAACTTTCTATTTCAACGGCAATTAGTGGTCAGAGTTCGGAGCTCTCTATTGGATCCCACACAAGTTGAGTGTGGTGTGCCGCAAGGCTCGGTTCTAGGCCCGCGTTTGTTTTTGGTGTTTATTAATGACCTTGCACAGGGTATCGCTTCAAACTTCCTAATGTTTGCCGACGATATCAAGATCTGGCGCAGGATCCAGGCGAACACTGACCAGCATGTGCTTCAGAGTGATTTAGATACGGTGTATCAATGGTCGACCCAAAACTTATTGCATTTCAACGTCAGTAAATGCAAGGTGCTTTCCATCCGACATCAAAGCATCTACTCATACTGACTCGGAACGGATGTACTGCAACAATCAACTCTCGAACGTGACTTGGGTGTCCTGGTTCAAGATGACTTGGGTTGCTCCAGGCAATCCGAAAAGGCCTCGAAGACCGGAAACCAACGCGTTGGGCTGTTGAGGCGGGCGTTTGGACAAATAAACAGCTCCATATTTCGACGAATGCTCAGTGCGTATGTTCGCCCCCATGTCGAATATGCAATTCAAGCCTGGCATCCATGGCTGAAAAACGACCTTAATGCACTGGAGCAGCCACAACTCCGGGCATCTAAGAAGGTAATTGGAATGCACAATCTTTCCTACCAGGAGAGGCTGCGATGACTGGGATTGTTCAGTGGAAGCTATCGTAGACTACGAGGCGACCTGATTATGGCATACTTGATTCTGCGAGATCCACATCATGTGTGCCGCCCTTTACTGCAACTCAGCAGCAATACAAACCTGAGGGGCCACTCATTAAAACTCGCTGAACAATACAGTCGTCTTGAGTGCCGCAGAAATTTCTTTTCCATCCGTGTCTGTCACCCGTGGAATGCTTATCCAGAATCGGTTGTCTTTGCACCGACACAAACAGTATCTAAAAGACGGTTGGCCGATGCCCTCGTTTACTTACACTTCGTTACTTAACACTACGTCTCCATCCTACACCTGGATTTTACCATGGAATTATTTGTTGTTAACTGTGAATGCAGTAAATCTAAGAGAATCGCAGGACTACAGCGAAGCAAAAGATAAGTCCTTATTTTCGTATTAAAAGTATCAACTATTTTACTATCCTCATCATAATTATTGTTATGTTTATATTCCCAGCAACTATCTAACGGAACTTGTAAAGCAACGCTTCTTAACTCGTATAAATTCATTGTTCATTGTTCATTGCGCTATGATCTATTCCAGGGAGAGGGTCTCGCGAATGTACCGTTATTGCTCCTGGTCTTGAGTGACCTCTTCGCGCTCATCATGAGTTCCAGCCTCGGGAACGCTGTGAATCCTGCGCGAAATCTTTAATTCGTCGGCGTGCAGTAGGATATTTGCAGTGTTTGCTGTTCATGCTCACAAATAAACATCGAGCGGAATGTCTGCAATATACCCATGCAGGTCGGCCTTAAACTGCTCATTGGGGACTCTAGAACTTTCAGATCGCGCCTATTGAAGTCGTCTGAGAAGAGAACATGACTGCATTTTCGTCGAAGGACCATTCCGACGATTATAAAAGATAGGATCCCAGCTCTGTGGTGGATATTGAGGGAGGATAACAAAATGCTAAACGGCAACTGTGGTTGTGCATTAGTCGCAGATTGCATCAGTGTGTCCATGAGCATCGATTCTGGGTGGTCCACAGGTTCGCAATGCAAATCGCTAGGTAGTATAACAATGTCTCCTGCCGTAGCTGGAATGATCTTTACGAATGAGGATCATAGCATGTATCGCGACTTCGGCTTCGGTAATCTCTGAGTGCAGCAAGTATTCCGTTGCGAATATGAGGTCCCACACATTTGATGCTTGACTTAGCCGCACTTCGGCAAGCTTGCTCAGGAGATCTTGTGGATTAGTGTAAATGCAGGAGAGTTTCTCAGTTCTTAGTAATGAATTGTGGGATGCATGTTTTGGATAAGATGTTATGCCGTCTAATGCAATGTCGGCCACCTAAGGTTTTATGGGTGGAGCGACTTGCGGATGGGAGCCAGGTTGCATCAATGGAGCCGGCCCACAAGGCTACACAGGCAAAAACAAGCACGCTGTATTTGGGAATCAATCGCACACAATGCGGTGGCTGGACGGTAGTCCGCTCCACACTAATGCATGGTACCACTCAGAGCCTAGCACGGCCACAAGGACCGTGCACCCCGTCCCCTCCATCAACGACCAACAGTCTCCTGTAGCCAGTATGGACGAGGTAGTGGGTAATAAACAGGTAGGCACCTTGTCAACAGGCACATTAAGCGCAGCCACACCTTGGATGTCAAACGCCAGCAATCATAGGAAATTCCAATGTCAAATAAAGATCTCGAATAAAGTAAACGTATATGACGACGTAAATACTCGCTAAAGAGCATATGGAGCAAATCGGTTATAAGCGAATCCGCGATGGGTAAAAATGTTCCAAATTTATTTAAAATTACCCCAGGATAAATTTGCGCAAGCTTATTACAATTAGCATGAGTGAAGTGTGAAAGTTAGGAGGAGGTTATCAGGTACGCAGAACAAATCAAATACAGATGAATAAATTTTATTCTTATTAAAAAGACCTAATTTAAGTGTAAGTTGGTTTAGCCCAACTGCGGTGAAGAATGATCATAAATGCAACATAAGTCTCAGCTTAGGGCATATATATATATATATATATATATATATATATATATATATAATCGATCCTGATTTCACGTAACAAACCGCAGTATATGACTGCAGGTAAGTAGCTTGTCGTTTCCACGGATCATTGTTAATTTGAGGGATAAATGATCGGATCAGACAATTGAGTTGTCCACATAGTTATCTTCCTTTAAGTTTACAACGCATACCAGAAAAACCTACGAAAGATGAACAGAGTTAAAACGGGTCTTCCGTTACCAGTCCGTTAATGCTATTGATGGCAGTTGCTATGCACACACTGTGACATGCGTTACTGAGGGCCGACGCAAAAGGACGCGGGGTTGATCAAATTTCCGCATCCGACATTTCACACAAATTTAGGCAACACACGGACATCATAACTGCAGATAATTACCAATAAATTTTGTGAACTCAGTGAGGATGAACACAACATGTTCCAGTGCTAGATGATCATGTTGATAGATGGTGTAGATCATCAGTTCGTACTTCTTGCTGACCTACTAGAATTTGATCTGAAATCATGTGAACCAATTAACATTAGCCGAAATTCCTTAGTAACCCTAATATAATACCGAAAAATTTAGGAAACATGGTAAAACGTGCTGCTAGGTATACAACTACCGTAGAAAGGACATTAGGAGAGGAAATGCAGGTGCTCACTTATAAACCTAGGTTCTCAAGCAATTATAGCCCTTCAACGCAAACAGAATTTCAATTTAAGCTAATTATTTATTCACGGATATAGTTTATCGGCTTCGTAAATAACCAACTTTTCCTCTGCATCAACATGATCGTTGTGCTGAATATATTACTTGCAGTCATAATTCGTTTTTTAATAAATCTACGCTCAAAGTGCAGGTTATAATCTATGTTTCTTAATATTGCAAGTATTATTACGGCATTGTAAGTCACATGTCCATTACTGTACTTCGGGTAGGTAGATAATATTCCTACTAAAGTGATCAGGAGCACTTCTACATTGATGAGAGTGTGGGCCACTTACTTTATGACCCAGGCTGTGAAACAATCAGTGCCAGTACCATGAGTCATGAAGGTGACCCTGTGTCTGTGTGCTCAGAGCTTACAGTAACAAACCACTTAAGCAGAGTCGATATCTCGCTCGACGGTATCCATCAAACTATTAAGTCCATCAGGCCATTCCCTAAGCTGGGATCTGATGACATCTCGCTAACCACCATTAAACCAGGAAGTCCTAAAGTACCACTTCTGTTGATAAACATGTTTACCCTATCGCTGGGATCTAGTCAATTTTCATATCAATAAAAAACGTCATTTATTATGTCTCGGCACAGAGGTGGTCCCAAACAAACGATTGATTACTATCGACCAATCCACCACACTACGAAAATCGCTCGGCTACTTGAAAAGCTGGTCAAGAATTAGATGATAAATTTCGTCGATTCTATTGGCCTCATCATTAATGCGCAGCATGGTTTTCTTAGCAAGCGTTAGTGCACCCGCAGTCAACTGCTTAGCTGAGGCACATTACAGAATCAATCGATTCTGGTTATGCAGTAGTAACCCTGCTTCTTGATACACATCAAGCATTAGACAATGTACCGCACAAGTGACTGTTAGGAGCTACTGTAGGAGAACTTTGGGGTCCGGGACTAAATTTTAGGTTTGCTATTTTTGTAGCTGAGTGATCGTCATCAGGTAATCACCTTAGGTGACTATCGCTGTTCTCCACGCTCAGTCACCAGTTGGATCACTCAAGGGGGCACACTCGGTCCTTCACACTTTCTGCCCTACATCAATGACAAAACTAAACCGGTAAAACATGATACGTCAATTTTATTTGCTGACGATATCAAATCCTCCATAAGCTTCGGCGTGGGGAGCTTCACGGGACGCTACTACTGATTCGAATGACTTAGATTCCCTTGAATCATGATGTTGCACATGGGTGATGAACCAATCGTCTTAGAAATCAAGCGTCATGTCTTACGGCTACTGCACCCCCGAAGATATATTGCCCTAAACAATAAAGGCGTTTCTACACAGCTGTCCACGCGAGATCTTGGAAGCTGACACACATCTACCTTCAATTTCTTCCAACAGGCCCAATATCAAATAATACATGCTAGACAAATGATGTTCAATATATCAAGCCAAATCCACCCAACTCCTGTCAGAGTTAAGCTT